GAAAGAGCATATATATATATATATATATATATATATATATATATATATATATATATATATATATATATATATATATATATATATATATATATATATATATATATTGGGAAATTGACAATTTTGTAAATTAAAAGTGATATTTTTAGGCGATTTTTCATTTGTAAGAATATTCTTAAAAAATTATCGTGTTACCATGAAAACAACTTTAGATACTTCATGTTCGGAAAATACAATGGTTTTGTCAGCAAGGCGAGGGTTTCTTCATGCATGTATTTTCTAGTACGCTACTAATTCAACAAACTCCTTAGAAGTATGTTATACTTCAGGAAAATATCATGGCCGAAAGGCTCTTCATGAATTTATTACTATTGCTTGTCATGCAGATAAAAGAAAAGTTTAAGTACTTGTTCATACACATTATTCATTAATATACCTTTGCATGGAACAAAGAAAGAAACATCAACACCCAAAAACAATTGTGATTCGAGACATCTAAAGAGAATAGAAATACTTTTCAAATTGGAAATAGATACACGTTATCTGATGCCAAAACAGTCTGATAAAAATGTGCCAAAATAAACAAAACAAATCTGATTCTACGAATGACGCTAAACTTATATAAGTAGGTGGTATGAAATCTGAGACTATAGAATCATTGTATGCACCCGTTGAAGGCTATAGACTGATAGTCGAAAGCTTTTATAATAAATATTAAGTCAGAGAACGTTCAATAGATGTTTTAACCTGGCTACGCATCCTCTATTTTTTCAAAACAAATCTGATTAAATAGACCACTTTGGCGGTTTTGTGTTAAGTGGAAACACGTGCTCGCGAAATCGGAAACTCGGACAAACATGACGGAGTGTAATACAAATGCTATTCAAAATCAAAATACACAAATGTTTCGACCATTTAATTGATAAATTTGCTGGCTTTCGTCACGAAACTATAGTCAAAATGGAAAATATGTCACGAGAAGAGAAATTAAAAGCCATGAACTGAAGCTGCCGGAGCTCAAAGCGTACTTACAAAATCGAGGAATTACTGTTAACAGTTACCTCAAATTCGCAGCTATTGCTTGTGCCGTTGAAGAAATTAGTTTTTCATTGCTCTTCCAAATCAGTGAAGTCCAAGACCAGTTAAATCTAAGCCGTCGTTTGAAATTTCACGATATTCAGCTGCCTGGTCGTTTTAAAATGAATGTTTTAAGCATTCTCGCCTTGTTTGCATCACTCGCCAGAATATGACAAGCACAGTCTAGCATATTATAAATTTCTTTTACATATCGTACGCATTTTAATGTTGCATTTTAGATGCTAGACGGAGATTAGGATTATTATTATTATTCTCAGTACTAGTTATTGCTGATACAGGGTCTGGATGTAGTAGGACCATTTGTGCAACAAAATGAAGGCTACAGGGCCTTGCAGAGAGGGGGGCGGCACTTGGGGCAACTTGCCCCGGGGCCCCAGTTTAAAGGTGCCCCCCAAATTTGTAAAAACTAAAAAAAAAAATTCGAACGTTTTTTGATATAAATAATGGTATGAGAAAAAATTCTAAACAAAAATTTTACATTTATTGATCGAAAAAAGGGTTTGACCCATGTTGTAATAGGAATTTGTCCGGAAAAAAATGTTTAAACCTTAGTTTAAGCATGGATAATAAAATAAATGGATAGGAAACAAGCTGACGTGACCTAATGTTTTCAATGGGCTGATGGCGTGATTGGATGTTGAAACCTAGTTGCAAACCAAATTCTCAAAAACGGCATGTTTAGCATTAATACAGCTAAACATTTTAGTCAAAGAGCAAATTAATATAACTACGATGGAATCTCTAAGTATTCCCAGTCAATTTTAGCAAATATTTCAAGCACTATATAAACAGTGAAAAAGGCATCCCAAATTTCGTTAAAATTGGGGACGCCAATTTCGTACCTACAAATGTAAAAAAATACAAAACAAAGACGAAAAACATTTACCTTGAATACTTTGTCGTGGCTTAGGCATGTTTTTTAAACAATTAGACCAGTATATGCTTCAATATTACTCTTTTAAAGCGGAAAGTATGAAAATTAGTAAAAAGGAACAGTAAAAATTTTAGAAATTTAACGGTATATCTTTGAAAAGTGTTCTGAGAGGACAAACAGTACTTTTTTTCTCACGCTTCACGGTAATTTTTAAACAAACTAATTGGTAAACACGGCTGATCTAATTAAGCTTACTAGGACAATGACCTTTGCTGAGGCTCGCCTTAGTAGTATGCAGGATGTTTGCTGGACCAGTATGCGCACTATACCACGCAATAACACTGTCAAAACCTAACAAAAATTGACCGGTCTTTTTTAAAGCTTCCTAACAAAAATGCGTACGTATGATACGAACATCACTAGACCAAAAAGTCAGATTGAGCTCCACCTTGGAATGTACTATGTGAGTAAATTGTTAAACACGTCCGAATTTATAAAAATACTGCAACAAATTTGCCACACATGTTGAGACCTAACCCTAAAGCCTAACCCCTATCCCCAACCCCTAACTCTAACCTCTAACGCAACCCATGGCCAAAGTATTTACAAACGAATACCTTTCAGTTGTCACATACACATGTCCTTTACCACTTCTCAAACATGAGTTTGATAACTACTGCTGCAATGTTCTGCAGCCAATGCTTCATGTTGCCTGCACATGTACTTTCTTTGGAGTCACTGTTTGCCTCCTGACATATCGGAAAATGATTAAGATAGTGACTCTCGTTGATTTACTTGTTGTTTTGCATATGAGTGTTGTTGACATAGCTTTTTAGCCTTTAATATTTGAGTGAGTCACGCTTTTGAAATGACAATACATTAAGA